GTTCAGGGTTTGGGTTTATGGTTTCGGGTTCAGGGTTTGGGTTTAGGGTTTCGGGTTCAGGGTTGGGGTTTAGGGTTTCGGGTTCAGGGTTTGGGTTTAGTTCGGGTTTCGGGTTCAGGGTTTGGGTTTAGGGTTTCGAGTTCAGGGTTTGGGTTTAGGGTTTCGGGTTCAGGGTTTGGGTTTAGGGTTTCGGGTTCAGGGTTTGATTTTAGGGTTTAATTCGCGTGGCGCTCGTTTCGGTTCCGGGGTCTTCTGGGAAGCTTGCACAGCAAACGGGCACCGGGTCTGACATCTTGATTTAGGCCTTTTTTTTGCTTTCAGGAAGGTGTTTTATGAGGGCTCTTTGTTCCGCTTCAAAGGGCTCATGAGGGGCGCTATGAGGGCTGAAGAATTCCGTTAGGATTTAGGATTTAGGGTTTAGGGTTTGGGCATCAAATCCGACACTTCACTCCAAACTTTGAACCCTTGGCCACTCGCCTACCCTCAACCCGAAGACCACATACTCGAAGTTGTCAGGTGGATTCGAATTTCCAGCAGAAAGCCGTGAAGGATGCTTCTTGGCCCAACGTCTGGGGTTTTAGGCTTTCGGTGATTGGTGTTGGACCAGCTGGGAAGTACGGAATCGTGGGGCTTTTCAATGTTTAGGTCCTGCCATGCCTTCCTCTCTTGGCGATAAGCAACGAGGCTGCCGTTCCCTTTGGTACAACAAGCCTGAGCTACAAGCCTACGAACTATGTTTCCTGACCCTTCAAGGACTCTCCTGTGTGAAACCTTAAACCCAAAACAGTAGCGACAGAAGGTTGTAGCGCTTGGGTTGAACCCTGAGCCCCTTACTTACCTTGCAAACGGGTAGCTGTGAACCAAAAGCCTTAAGCAAAATGCTTCACCCCAAAGCCTAAGCACGTGAAGGTTTGGACGTGGGCTTCTACTGTTTCGGCGTCGGACAAGACAGCTGGCGGAAGATGTGTGGGGCTGTTAAACACTTGGGTTGGGTCTAATGGTTGTGCAATTATGCTGGCCCTCAAGGTGTGTATCTAATGCATATGTTCATACACATACACGCTTTGTGTATACATATTCATCTAAGCAAACATATGTATGTGTATGCACATATATATGCATGCACATGAACTCAGGCAAGCGTGCATGCATGTATGTATGTAGCTATATGCTTGTGCTCCGCAGGCTTTGCAGCACGAACGCTGTGGGTTCGGGGTCTTGGTGTGCAGGGTTCGGGGCTGAGGGTATTGTAACTTAGACATTGACATTCAACTGTTTGCATCTGCGTCGTGATGGTTTAAGGTTTTGGGTTCAGGGGCTTTGTCCAACGTGATGCTTCGTCAGAGTTTGATCCCTTTTTTCACAGGAGGGTTTGACAAAGCTTAAGTGCTTGACTAGGGTACACATGTGGCTTCCTGCCTTCAAAACCTGCCTCATGTCGCAGGTCAGTGATGTGGAGAGTCTACACCTTGAGCTCTAGATACTCTTCCCAGAGCCCAAAACGTAGAGCATTCGCTCTTATCTCGCAGTGGTGTGATGGGTTTCTGCGACAATACGACATCTTCAGGGATGCAGCTGTGTACTGATAGTGCTAAAGTAAGATATTGAACAACTGATATACGAGAAATCCACAAAGCAGGCCAGGATTTCTTGCCGAGTAGTTCTCAGCGTGTGAGTAGCCGTAACTTTGCAGCGTTGTTATGTGTAGCTTCCTTTTCCAAAACGAAGTCTTTGTTGCTCTTGCATCATACTAGTACATAGTGGATATCTTTACCCATTGCCGGCGAAATCTAGCTTTTAAGCTTCAAGCTTCTTGGCATCACCAGGTTTCTCTGAATGACCATAGTTCAACAAGCATTTGTTCCGAAATACCCAGAAGTCAAAAGCCCGTGCCTGAGGAAGATACAGTGCAACGTGGTGGGCACTGTGGTCGATGAGTGGGTTGATGACTGGGATCGTTGCGCTGCAGAGAGAGGTCTTCGTTCCAATCCCTTCTCCCAGAGCCGTGGCGAAGACTCCCGTGATAGCCAAAAGATAGTATACGATGTTTCAGCTATTACTTTGCATGGCAACCCCACGGAGAAGTTTCAAAATGCTACAAGAACTCAGCAAGTTGCAACACGGCCGAAGGAGAGCAGCATATACTGCAATGTAAAAACACATGCTCCAAGTCTGCAAAGCCAGAACATGTAATTCGTACGAAGCGGTATCTGCCCCAAGCCCTGGACCCTAAACCCTTGACCCTGAGCCGAAACCCTAAACCGAAATTTTGTAGTGGGTACTTGGGCGATCATGGGACTTAGTAACTAGGGTTGTAAATAAGGTAACTATGACGATAACCCCAATTAGGGTACTTATAACCTTACTTACTAAGTCCCATGATCCTCCAAGAAGGTGCATCATAGACCAGGATCGCAGGGTTTTTTGTACGTCCTCTCAGCAGTAGAGTGGCATCAGGCTTGTAGCAGCTGTTTAGCTGTTTGGCTCATCGAAACTATGTTGAATATGGAATTTATGGCCTCGAACAATGACTAACTCTCTCTTCTTACAGTCCTTATAGGTCCACATAAGTATAGTGTAAGGTACCACCCCAAAGCCGTCTTCTGATTATAAAGGATCCTATATGAGTTATACAAGCGGGAGATGAGTGCCGAGAAGTTGTGATAATGATGGCAATGATCGTAGAACAAAGAGTGGGGATGATGCCACGAGGATGAAAGGAGGACACTGAAGAGAAACGCATTTCACAAGTGTCAGCTTTGACGGACAATGCTAGCCATGAAGATGAAGTGGGACGAGTGTGGTTGCGGTGACAAGGTGTCCTGCTGTACGAACGATTTTCGTGGTGGGAAGGACGATACAGAAACTCTGGTGAGAAACATGATGCCAGTGACGGTCAGGACGGTGGGACGATGGCGGTTTTGATCGTGATGAGGATGCCACGTAGAGCACGATGAACATGTCAGTTTCTGTTAGTGACTCTGGAAGTGTCTCCTAGACCCTAAACCCCAAACCTACCAAAACCCTTCATCTCCCAAACCCTAAATCTCCCAAACCCTGCATCTCCTAAACCCTATAAATCCCCCAAGACCTCCTGAATCCTAAACCCTAAATCCCCCCAAACCTCCTAAATCCTAAACCCTAAATCTCCTGAGCCGTAAACCCTACAGCTGGGGTCAAACTGCTTGGGATTGCTGCTCTCAGTCCCGAAGGTCCGACTCCCTCAAAAGACTCGCGCGCGTTCCCTGCGCCGAAAGCTTTTCAGGGCTTTAGGGTTTGGGGTTTCAGTGTTGAGGTTTTGGGGGTTTTAGGATTAGGTTTTAGGGGTTTATGGGGTTTAGGATTACGGGTGTAGGGTTTCGGCTTAGGTTTCAGCGCGTAGGGTTTTAAAGCCCTAACTTCGAGACCTCGTCCTTACCCCTCTAAATCCCGAACCTTGGGCGCACCTTAAGGAACATCGGCGGGGTCTGCGATGATGTTGCCCATGACAAGCGACGGCACCTGGAATGGTTCGGCCTCAACGCTCAGTACGATGCCTTCGGGACCGTAATCCTAAACCCTAAACCCCA